TCTTATATCATAACATTGCTTCCAGTCTAGACAAGGGGGCTAAATTTGTTCGTTGTGCCTTCCTAGACTATACATCTGCTTTTGACTCGGTCCCTAGGGACATCTTATTAAATAAACTTGCTGCAAGTCAAACAGAATGTTGGGCTGTTAACTGGTTACATTCCTGTTTCTCAGAAAGAAAGCAGTACACCGTGTATAAAGGGAAGTCTTCCACTTCATTGCCTACTGAAGCTGGTGTCCCTCAAGGCGCTGTCCTTTCTCCTTTTCTTTTTTCTTTCTTCTTACATGACTTGCCTCAGTCTGATGAAATAAACTTTGTGAAGTACGCTGATGATTTAACAGTTTCAATGGCTGTTAACTCCCAGCTAGATTGTACCAAAATAAATAGCTTTCTGTCGGGAGTCAGTAAATGGTCTGAGTCTAACGGTCTTAAACTGAATCCTTCTAAATGTCAAACTGTTAATTTCAGCTTAAGATGTAAACGACAGTTAAAAGAAGCCGTCGATTCTCATGACAGTTGTAAGATTGATGACAATGATATAGGAATTAAATCAGAAATTAAGTATCTTGGACTTATTCTCTCTTCTGATCTCTCCTGGTCTTCCCATGTCTCAGCGATCTCCAGTAAAATATTCCGCCTGACATTTTACATTAAGAAGTTAAGGCACTCGGGTATAACTCAACCCCTCCTCTTACAGTTCATAAACTCTTGCATCCTACCTATTCTTCTTTATTGTTCACCCTTATTCTTTCCTGGTTTGCTTAAAAAGGACTTTGTCACAATTCGTAGAATGCTGAAGACTGTCAGTAGGATGAGTGGTGTCCCAGTGGACTACATAGTTAACGTCGTTGTCGATAGGCACTTGACTTCGTGCAGTAAATTTGCTAAAGGGATTTTGTCTGACTTGGAGCATCCACTTCACCCTCAGCTTTCACCTTGCATCTCCTCAGGTAGAACAAGAAGTAACTTCAGAAAACTGTATGCTCGCACGTCTAAGTATAAAAATTCTATGATACCATACTTGGCACGTATTTTATGTGATGAAAATAGCGTCAGGCAAGAATTGACTAACCTTTTTTCATCTAGTAAATAAACAATCTCCTCCATCCATCCTTATATACCTTCAAGTTTTACTTTTATTATTTCTATTATATTTATGGTCCTGTTGCTTCTTTGTTTTTACTTTCATAACTGCAAACACCAACTTATCTCTATGACTGCTGTAATCTTTGTTTTTTCCCTCACCATATCATGTAAAGAGAACATTATATTCAATATTTTTAATCATGCAAGGATTTGTATACCGCATCGACAATACTGTGTGAAACAAGCCCACGGCAATTTCCACTTGTATTATTATCATTATCTTAGCTGCTATCATTATTATTATTTCCATTTTATATGCTGCATGTTTTTTTTGACATTACCCCTATTGTAAATGTTGAAAAATTTTCTGTGTGATTAATTTTATTTATAATTTGAGGAAATTAGATGCAATATTGTGATTAATGCTGAAAATTCCATTCTGTATCACAAGTACTGTTTTTGGAATAAAGTAAATCATTATTATATTATTTTAAAAAATAAGTTAAGTTCCTGTGAATTTAGTCATTCCCATTGTTATGAAGGATTCAATAGGACCTGACAACCTAGATTTAAGTAAGTTTGATTTAACTAATACATATGGATTGTATGAAACATTGACTGTCACTGTCATTAATAATCTGATGATTTGAAGGAGTGAGAGATGAATTTAGATTTGTGGTATTGCAAATCCCATCGATATTTATGTATGAGTCAACTTTTACAACAACATTTTCATTACATCTGTTAAAGCATATGTGAAAATGTCACTTAAAATACAAAATAACTGATCAAAGTTGGTAGCAGATAGACAGCATTCTTGAAAACTCTAAGATCACAGACAATACCCTCTTACTGTAGGAGACTCTGTTGTTAAGGCGACATAACTCTAATAATTGAAAAACCCTATAACAAATATGTATTCTTCTGCAAAACAAAATAATTGGACATCATTTGTAAAAGACTCCCATTTAATTTTAAACGGTCAGAATTATTATGGTTACAGTCAGTCGTGGATTTATATATATATATATATATATATATATATCCCATATGAAAACAGTTATGTTGAAAGGAGTTCTGTTTACTTCCAGGCTTCGTATTGTACTAATCATATAGCCTGTCAAGTGAGATAATGAATTATCCAACTACATCACAAACATATCTTGTGTCATCTAGTTCTTAGTTTGGTACAGACTGAATTCTATCAGTAAGTTTTTCATTGCGGTCACCGAACTAGTTGGCTTACCGTAGTAGTGCTCCCAGAATTGATGTTAGATAGTTGGAGGTAGTCAGCTGGAAGTCATGGACCTAGGTTTCGTGCTTGTTGGCATATATCAACAAGGCGTATCTCCAATCTTGAAGGGACTCATATCCCCTCGGATATTCGAACCTCCTTTTTCACCCAGTGCTTCAGTCAGAGACGTTACCACTGGGCTATTCAGGGTCCCGATTGAACTCTTATGTCATCTGAATATTCTTAAGAATTCCTGGAACAAAATTTCATGTGACATACATGTATACTAGTCATAATGTACTTCTAGAGATAGATTTCATATGTGCTGTTATTTCTTTATAGCCAATATACTTTTGTTATCTATTATTGAAATAGAAGTGGTTTAACTGCAACTACTTTCCCGATTTATGATTTAATCAGATAATAATTCTCACCAACTAAATTGATCTAATGCCTTATTAATTCATACAGGAAACTTTTCCACCTCATTTCTCTTTTAACACAGTTGAATAAGCAATAAGAAGAAGAAAAGGGCACAAATAGTATAATACATACTAAATGTGAAAAATCAATCAGATGAAAGAAATTATTCATTTCGATGGAAAAATTTTCCCTTTAAGCTTTCTGAAGGAAGGATTATATATATATATGATTTCACTCACTGCTGTCTTTTTCTTTCAGTGAAACGCAGGTGGCTAGTTGTATACACGTGGAAAAATATCGTATTTATTTTTATATGATTCATATCTGAGGCATTTTGTGATGAGAATTCATCTTAATTTTCTTTTTTAACAGAAGGCTGAACACTGTGAAAGTATGGTCCACTCATACCCACTTTTAGGAAGTGATGAATAATGCCACACATATAACTGTGTATATTAATAAGATGCTATATATGTATTTGGAGGTGACAAGTAGTAAATACGTGTGAACACAAAAGATCATGTGATATTTAAGGTTCACTGGATCTCACCAGGTGTACCATACAAAATATTAAAACAGATACCTGAAGTTTAAGTTATACCAGTTATTCTTCATGTCGTTAAAACAGTTTTTAAACTCTAAATATTTCTTTTGTAGTTAACAGAAGTGAACATATATATCTAAAGATACGAATCACTTTGAAAGCTGGTTGTACAGCTATATCAAATCTCAGGTTTCTACTCCCTTCGTCATTTTGTGTAGAAAGCCTATTTGAATTTTCGTTCATCACATTTCTTTATAGATCCTTTAGTATGCTCCCATTGTGCAATGAGTCTACAAAACACCCCATTATATAATATATTTTCCTGGGTTTTGCCAGACAGCATTCATCCGTCCTATGAATTAATGGGCCTTTTGATTCCACCCAGGCAGCCCAACGGTATCTCGGCTTGCCTTGTAATCTGAAGATCTTGGATTCAATTCTTGGTGAGGTCATAGGTGCGTATTTCCGTAGTGTCCCAAACTAGGATGAGACAGCTGTCCAGTACTCCCTGGTTTTCAATGGTTCTCTAAGCGGTGTCAGTTCTTGAAATATCTGAAACCTCTGCACTGTTTTACAATAATGGAGAGCTAATTTTTAACACTAATGCGTTTGAACTATGCTACAGCTTTAGGATTTTTCACTATTTAAAAGGATGAAAAGGATGTTTTAGCTTTGAAAAATTCAACTCTCTTTAGCTTCATTTGTTGGTGAAAGCCACAATTTAACAGTTGCTAAAATAAATCAGTGAGATGTATCACCAAACTCAGGTAAACTTATTTTGTAGTTTAGATAAGTTATCTGCAATGCTTGTACGTCGGTGGCACAGTGGTTAGGACGCTCGCCGACCATGCACATCGTCCGGGGTTCGATCCCCGGCCGACGCACTCCCAAACCTCACTAAGCCTGTAATAAAAAGCTGGTAAAGAGGAAAGATTGAGCATGAGGCTAGCAACTCCATCCTGTAAAAATAATCACCACTGATACAGAAACTTCAAGCTGGCTCTAGCTTGAAGCCCTATGTTCCACTGGGAACGTGAAGGAATAGAAAAAAACCTGCAATGCTGAATTTGAAAATTCATGAATTTGTCAGTAAGTTATCCAAAACAAGAGTCAACCCTTAAAGAGCTGGATTATTTCAGTGAACTGGTGACCATCAAACTAAAACCTCTAAAATCTATGCGTAATCTCACTCCCTTTTTAAACATAGTTCCGATAATAAAGTAGCGTATATATTCAAACTAGAATTTTGTTACATGAAACATATAGCCTTGATGATGTAAAAGGATAATTCTAAAACTCATGTGAAGATCAGTGAAATTCTCCGAAATACTAATAATATATCCGCCAACCTACTCAGAAATTAATTTCAAATAGCTATACTCACAATATAATATGTCGAAGGAAATGGATATGAACTGGATATACGCCGAGATGACAGCTGGGCAACAGCACATGTGAGGACCTCGAGTGGGACCCGAACGGGAAAACGACGAGTTGGACGTGAGTCAGAGGGTGACATGAAGGAGATGACGTGAGGAGGAGTTAAAAGCCAGTTGAAGAGGACAAATTGCAGATATCCTGTTGAAGTTCTATGTTCCACTGGGAACTCAAGGTAATAATAATATTAGTAATATTCACAAACTACTTACAAATCATTTTGTTAATTCAAAACCTACTTTAAAAAAATACCAGATATTAAAAGACTAATTCACCTGAAATATTCTTTCCATTTCATTCAATTGATGACTTGTAAACGTAGTTCTATTACGCCGCTTTTTCACTTTATCTCTTGAAATGCAATTAGTTGTACGATGAATTGTAGAAATATGATTATTATTATTATTATTAATGGTATTAGTATTATTATTGTTACTGGACATTGAACTATTCAAATTGAACGGATTATTCACTAAGAAATCTGTTGTGTCATCATTTAATTTTAATAATTTATTACTGTTTTTGTCATTAATATATCTTGGTGCATCATAATTTGTAGATCGTAAGACAGGATTTGTTGGAATACAATGGGAATAATTGGTGCTCTGGTTATCATTATTATTATTACGATTAATGTTAGTATGATCAGAGATAGGGTTTTGTGTCGGTACTGTAATGGATCCTGGTGTTGGTGTTGTTGTTGTTGTTGATGTCGCTGAAGCTGTCGAAGTGAATGAAAAATATGAAGGCAACTTTGGTGGATCTGTATAAAACTTCTGTGTAATTGAATTAATCTGTGTTGGAGCACAAATAGCATATGGTCGTAATTTTCCATTTGTTGAATTAGTCAATAAACTTGGCAGTAAAATATTATCAGGAAAAGCTTCACCTACAAAAATTTAAAACAGTAAGACATTTTAATATAGTGACAAGGGCTTGACATGAGACATTATTTACATCAAAACAGGCTACACTAGGCTACCTGTTTTCCCACAGAGCATAATCAGTCAAATTTACACAGTTATACTTTGTTTTAACCACCCACGAGTTTATACTCTTGAAGAACAGTCTATAATCATTTGCATTTTCGAATGGCTTTCAGCATACCGCTTAGTTTGTTTTGAAGGGACATATACGTCAGGGGTTGGAGCATGTTTCAGATAGGAGGAAATTCCGGTGAATGATATACTTCATATTAATGTTTTACTTCAAGATTGTGCATAATAGGTAGATAAAACCAAGCCAAAAAAGCCGTACTGTATACAAGTATGATGTTCAGAATAACGCTATTATTATTTTTTTAAATCTAGTCCTACTTATATATTATTACGTAATTTCCCTTTTGATCTATGGTAATAGACAGCGTTAACGAGTGTATTGTTCGAATACTTGGTCAAACATCAGGAACGAATGATTTGTTCACCAGGCCAAATAACACAAATATGACTGCGTTGTTTCCTGTATTAGATGTATAGTAAGCACTGTATCTGAATTATGCCCATGTTCGCACTTAACAGACAAAGATGGTTTAGAGTTCTTAAGATATTTGCTGTTCCGAAGGTAGGTAGTCAACAAGTCATATCGTCAACCGGTTAAAAGTAATACATCAAAGAGATTGAGATAAGTGCTCTGCTGCAAAACTAGTAGATGTATGTGGATTAGCTACTGGTTGAACGAATATAAGCGACTGAAAATTAGTGTAGCTCACAATTCACTCTCCATTCAAATATATAAATATATATTTATAGGATTTAAAGATTCTCATGATAATTAAAGCATATATCATGTACAGGAATAAGTTCTGAAGACCATTGGTCAAACTTTAGCCATTAGTGCTACAAATTAAAAACCCTGTTACAACGTAACTACAAGAATTAAACAACCCAATCCTAATTAGTATTAGATGGTTGGAGGCAATCGGCAGGAAGCCTTCGACCTAGGCTTCGTGCTAATTGGCATTCAGCAGTCGGCAAGGCGTATATGCAACCTCGAAGGAACTCATGTCCCTTCTGAGATTCGAACCCGCGTCACCCAGTGCTCCGGTCAGAGACGTTACCACAAATGAGCGATTCGGGCTCACGACTGACCTCCTGTAGGACTGTATTGGATACTTTGATTGGAAACTAGTAACTAGCGTGATGTATCTAGTCCTATCTTTGGTCCAGTGTGACCACCATTCTAGGTTGATTAGCCCAGCACTGGGTGACAAGGGGTTCAAATCTCCTAGGGGACATGAGTCCTTTCAAGATTGCAGATACGCCTTGCTGATGAGTGCCGACTAGCACGAAACCTAGGTCCAAGGCTTCCTGCCGATTGCCTCCAACCATCTAATATCATCAAATCAATGTGCACCGTGATGGCGAGCTACCTAGAATGGTGGCCACACTGCAAACCTAAGTGATAGAATTCAGTCTGCACCAAAGAAAGGACTAGACACATCATACTAGTTACTAGTGTCCAAACAAAGAATCCTGATTAGTTTACTATCAGTTTCTAAACCATATACCTGTACTGTTGACAACATAAGACCCTATTATCCTTAAATATTGGTCTAATTTGAACTTAAAGTTTCTAAGGAAAATTATGAAGATAAAAAACCAGTCCTGATAGTGATCAGTAGTTGTATTTCCTTCAGAAAATATAAATTATTTAACATTACCAGCGAGAAAATCATCTTTGACAAAAGAAGAAACCAAGCTTACTACAAATACAGTATTATCATAGCCACTGATGAACACATTTCATTATGTTACTGCAAAACCAGACTACTATCCTTAATAAAATTATGAGTATATAAATGATCTAAATTAAACTTGATATCTGGTAACAAGCTCGATGGAAGTCTGTTGCACTCAGCATAAACAACAGGATTTGGATGTCAACACTAATGTGAAGTAGATCAATGATTCTATATGATTCAGAGACTGCGCGCAGACTTCCATCATTAACCGCCTTCACACTATACTGAAGATCAGAAACAATAAGCAGCAAGGACCTCTAGCATCGAACCAACCAAGAAACTATTGTCCGACAAATATACTTAAGAAAATCGAGGTGGACTGAACTTATGCTGAAGAGACCGTCGAGTGACATCACCCACCAGGCATACCCTCGAGTGGAACTCAAATAGGGAACCAGGAGCTGAGGAGAAGATGAAAGCTTATGAACAGTCGTGCAGCCAGCTAAAAGAGTCTGTAGAGAATAGGATGAAATAAAGATATGCTGTCGGAACCCCATGTTCCACTCGGACGGAACACAAGGGTATAATGACAATAATAATCTAATAATAATAAAGAACCAAGTTCATTATTCCATATAAAAAGGTGATAACTAACTTACTTTTTATATCAGCAGCTAAATAAATTATTATACTACTGCTAAATAAAAGTTAAACATGAATGAATGGATTGAAAAGGGACATACTTTTGATTCATTAATATAAACCAGCTTTTATACTGCCTGTGTATAATTAAACCTACATATTTATATATATGTCTTATACTTTAAGGGTTTTTGTAGTTAGTTACTTAATCCTTGATAATAATTAAAAAAAGGGTAGTCCAAACAAAGTTTATGAGAGAAAAAATGAAGTATTGAACACGTTGAAAAATGCATATGAACAAGAGAAAATGAAACAACTCGTCATCAACATGACGACAACAAAACAACTGCTAGTGAAGAATACTTTTGAAAAAAAGTATAATGTAAACACATACTATAAAGTCATCAAAATGGAAAAGTAAAGAAAACAGTATATATATATATATATATATGTGTATATTTACATATGCTTCTTACCTGCTGTGATTCTGTCGTCTGTGTTGACAGGACATTCTAAATGGATAGCACCACAGTTGTCTCCATCTCCTTCTAATTCTTCTTCTTCTTCGACCACTACTTGTCGTTGTCGATAAGATGATTCAAGTATTGGATAGAAAGACTCAGACATGTAGTATTTCTTATTTCTGACAATAATACGACTATTATTATTAATATTATTATTATATAATCTCTTTTTCTGTTTTATACCAAAGTTATCTTTTGGAAAAATAGTAATTTTCTCAATTTACAATAATATATATATATTTATATATTTACTGGTTAAGATCCGGTCTGAAAGAAATAAACTGTGTGTGCGGTTTTAAATTTTCAGGAATACTCTGAATTTTATGCTGGACAAAAGTGTGCGCATGCCTCTCTACACGTATGTGTGTATTCATAAAATATCCTGTGAATTCACACAGCGTAGGAGATTTTTTTTCCTTCCACGTCTGTACTGTACCGTATCACACATTTCTACTACTACAATGTTATATATGTGTATGGAACATGTTGATAGGTATGTCAAGATAGATCATCATCTTTGCTACAAACACACACACACGCACACACTGGGAAAATTTTGTGCACATGCTGTGTTTATTACATACAAACATACGTGTGTGTGCTTCCATGTATGTGTACGTTTATAGATGTGAAAACCTTTCCTTTAGGTATAGAAGGTGTAGGGGTTTACGCGAATTGTGCTTTTAACAGAAATGTAGTCGTTTTAAGCAAATAATCTTAGTGGTTTGATTACGAATCACCTAAAAGAAAATGATCCCAAAGTGTGTGTGCTAGGGGGGGGGGAGACTTCATATATAAAATATTTTTTCCCATGAATTGGAATTTTGCAACTTCTCTATATATATCACCTTCGTATTCATTATTTAGGCATATTTTGACCGTACTTTCGAAGAAAAAAAAGTTCATCAGAAAGAGGATTTTGTGGAGGGTTGAATGAATTTCAAGTGTTAGATTTCTTCACCTACCCGTAACCTAAATACCAGTCTCTTTCTCACTGATGGCTAATAGATGGATGTCTTCAATCTGCAATGAAAAGTTGTGGCCAGTGGGATCCACCCTGTCAAGGTGAAGTGTACGCTCATCGAAGACATTGGCTGAGGGTAGCACGATATTATCGCGTATTGACAAAGTTAGAATTGATTAAAGAAGCCTATTAGAAATTTCAGAAGACCAATTACTGAACAAAGAATATTCCAGAGTTATATTTCCTTTTCTTCTATTCCTTCACGTTCCCAGCGGAACATGGGACTTCAAGCTAGAGGCTTGAAGTTTCTGTAGCAGTGGTGATTATTTTTACAGGATGTGGTTGATAGCTTTATGCCCAACCTTCCCTCTTTGCCAGTTCTTTTACTGGCTTAGCGAGGTAAAGGAGTGCGTCTGTGGCCGGGAATCGAACCCCGGACCATGTGCATGGTCGGCGAGCATCCTAACGGCTGTACCACCGACACATACAGTTATATGTCTACAGTGATAAAAGAATTATTGGTATTGACAACATTAACGTCTTTTTTTTAATAACATCGAATCACTGATATCAAAATGTCAAGAGTTAGATGCGAATAGATTGTTAATAGATTATAGTTGAAAACATGTGTATATGATAATATGCATAAATGTATCGCTGAACACCAGTTTTCCAATTTAAATGATTATGAATAACAATATGTATATAGTTAAAATTCACAGGTGATTCAATCCCGGCCCAAGTGGCTGAATGTTCAATGAGTTTGTTATCATAACCTGAAGATCTTCGGCTTGTAACCTAGTCCCAAACTAGGATGAGAAAAAGGGTTGCTTGGCTTTTTTAGAATAATTAAATGTTAAAATTTGTGGGTAAAAAGTACTTATTTATGTTTATTATACCTGTGACTCAGAAGAGAGTCCGTGATTCAAAAAGAATCATAATATGGTGACAGAAAACTAGAATATAATCAGACTTCTTTTTTAAAGACTGGTATGTTAATTATTACCTTTCGGCCGGGTTCCACTCGAGCAATGGCTTGTCTAGTGATGTCACTTGATGGTTTCCTCAGAGTATGGCCATTCAATCTCCATTTCTTCCTGCATATTTGCTGCACAATCGGTTCCTGCTGGGTTGGTTCGTTCATTGCCAGAAATTCCTCCCTGTCGCTGATCATTTCTGGCCAGCCATCTGATCTTAAGTAGTATTGAGCGAAGACAGCTGTTGATGAAAGTCTGTGGTTTGTTCGAAGTGCTCTGCATTACTCACCAAGTCTCTGATCCATAAAGTAGCACTGACTTCACATTGGAGTTGAAAATTCGGATCTTATTCTTCATGCTGAGTGCTGTTGATCTCCACACAGACTTAAGAGTAATGAGGACTTGCCTTGCTTTCCCAATCCTCGCTTTGATATCCTCGTCATTTCCGTCCGCCTGCGGTTGAAACGATGCTTCCTATTCAGTTAGTAGGTGAAGGAGGTTGCTTCTTTCAGATTTCTCCCATTTATGCTGATTGTTGTCTGTTGTTGTTGCTGTTGACCAGGAGTCTTCATCACCACATCTGTTTTCTCTACGTTCACCTGAAGTCCTATCCTCTCTGGATGCTTCTTCTGCCAACTTGTTACTTTTCGCTTGCATATCTTCCAGTTTATGGGGAATTAGACATATCATCGGCGAAATCCATATCCTCCAAGTCCTTTGTGTGGATCCATTTTATGCCTGTTTTCCCGCTGCCCGCTGTCTGTCTCATTATCTAGTCTACCACCCACTATCAGGAAAATTATTTGGAGATAGTAGGCAACCTTGTCTTACTCCCCTCTTTACTTCGAAGGATTCCGTAAGTTTCCCGTTGTGCATTACAATATATATATATATATACCACGGACTGACATCATTTAGAGAATTATTGAAAACCAGGAAATGCTAGCTTTTACGTCGTAGTTTGCAACTCTTCAGCAGTATGCATCCATCACCCAACTGGAGACTGAATCCAGGACCTTCAGGTTACGATGCGAGTCCGCCGACGCCTCAGACACTGATTTTCAATGGTTCTCTAACTTGTGTCGGTTTGTGATTTAAGTAGAAATTAACCGGATCCCTACAAAACAACACTTCAAAAGATGCGTATGTGAAAACTGTAAAATTAGTATATTCAGGGTTCCAACTCCCTGGCACTCCCTATGGCACTTTATCATCGCCAGTAGGAAGTTCAGAATAGTTAGGTTTGGATTAATTCCCACCGTACATTCTTTTAGTTGCTTATTATTATGTCCTAAGATAAGAATAAACTTAGGAGAAGTGCCTTAATCATTAGATTTTAAAACTTGCAGTAGATAATCAGTCTTTTTAGGAAATTTTTTATTAACATAACTTTTGTGATCTGAGTGCTTACAATTCACAGTTGGCACCAATTTTTTTAAACACCTTTAGGCGTTTCAATGTATCATTTTCAAATGTAATTTAACTGACACTTACATTCTCATAATGAAGCTAGAATAGGTAGCAAATATTAGCTCAGTATTGTGAGAACTTTTAATTGTAATTTTTTTACTATAGCTTGATTCCACACCGTATTTTTAGTACAAGTATGGAATTTTCAGCATGTAATATCAGTAGCCTAAATTTTGCAGGCCGACCATAAATATCAGATGTCCGTCGGCAGGGGGTCGAACCACGGACCGCGTGCATGGTTGGCGAGAGTCATAACCGCTGTGCCACCGACGGTATATTTAACGCGGCGAAAGATTTTCCCGAATGTTTGTTTGTACACATTATGGTTTCTTCAAAAAGCACTGCTTAAATTTCAACCAAACTGAAGACACTTGAACGATATCACAAATTCATAGGTGTTGAAATCAAGTATTGGCTTCAAAGACTTAAACTTATTACGTGTATACTAATAGTACCTGAGACAATGTACATATCCATTATATCATTCGCAGATCTAACCATAATATCGTACATATCACATCTCTACCTGTCAAACAAAAGCTGTTTTAGATAGTCTGACTGAATTAAATTGTTGTATCAGGAAAATTTCAGAACTCCAGAACTCACGTGTATTCGCTATCCAGCATTTCCGGTATCTTCCATCATAAATATGATTAGTTATGAAAGATGTGTGTCAATTTTAAGATAATTGTAGATCAATCTTTCCGCCAAATTAAACAGACATAGTCATACAGGTTCACTGCGCGACTGAATAAAATGTAAAAACTTCAATAATAAAAGTCTACACTTACTTGGGACTGAAAATCTGCTTTCATAATGGCTAAAATCAGAATCGTTACTTATAGGAATAGTCGATTATGAAGTAGAGGGTAATTTTTTCACATATTCTGTCATATAATTCCCCTATTTATAATAATAATAATCTGCTTTATTCCAAAGACAGTACTTATAATACAGAATGGAATTCTCAGCATTTGTCACAATATTGCATCTGATTTACTCAAAATATCAACAAAATTAAAACAAAATTAACCAGGGGAATTTGTTCACATTTACGATATAAAGTCAAAAATATTCGAAGCACGAATTGTTAATAATAACTCTGATAATGATAATAATAATAGTAATAACAGTTTGTTTCAAACAGTATTGTCGATCCAGTTTAGCATGTTAAAGTTTACTGAATCTAAGTTTCTGTTGATACAGTATGGTGAGGGGAAATACAAAATCAACAGTTATAACACAGCTTAAATGATTTTCACACTTATGAAAAAATAAACAAATAAAAACAAAGAATTGAGAGGATTATAAATATAAGAAGTAGAATAACAATAAAGGTTGATGTTGTAAGGGTGGAGGAAATAGTTTATTTACTAGTGCAAAGAAGGTTAGTTAGTTCATGCCTAACACTATTTTCATCACATAAAGTACGTGTCGTGAAATATGGTATAGTGGAATTTTAATACTTAGACGTACGTGCACAAAGTCTTCTGAAAAGACTTCTTGTTTTACCTGAGGAGACACAAGGTTGGAGCTGCGGGTGCTGAGGTGGATGCTCACAGTCTGACAAGATTCCTTTAGCAAATTTGTTGCATGAAAACAGCAGGTGCCTATCAATGACGATGTCAACGATACTGCCCAATGGGATACCACTCGCCCTACTGACTGACAGTCTTCAGAGTTCTACGAAGT